AATTTTGAGGGAGGTCAGTATAAAACACCGACTGCGGACTGCGGACTACGGACTGCGGACTAGGTATAAAATATGGACTAGGTATAAAACGCGGACTGTAAAATACGGACTGGGTATAAAACACGGACTAGGTATAAAACGCGGACTGCGGACTGGGTATAAAATACGGACTACGGACTACTTTGGTAGAAACGGTGCTAATTGGTTCTAGGTAAGGAAAAATAAGATCAACAGATCGCTAAATAGCAAGACACGTGAGTTAAAGTTGTAAATACTCCTATAAATTCTTGGTGGAGGTGTGCTGCCCGGTTCTCTGAATCATGAGCCGGATCAAAATGCTATTTTCTTCACCCATTTTTAGACCTTGTCTCGGTCTCCAACAATCATGAAAGGGGTCAGGATCAGGGGGAGGGGGTACTCCCTTATATAAGGGAAGGGTAGGGGTTTGGGGCCTTTTTGGTCTGAAAACACTTTGCCCATTTTAGTCTGGAATCGGGTATGGCGTTTCGAGGGAACTACGGGAGCATACGTGAATGGACGTACTTATCGTTTCAATTCCAAATGAATAAGAACGAAATAGAAATGTGCGAATCCGTAATGCATTTGGAGAATTTTTTTGTTTCCGCTCTAACTTGGTAGTGATGACATAATTTCTGCCTAATTATACCTAACCTGTTCCAGGCTCCGAGATAGCTGGGTCCGCTGAATTGAGAAAGCGCGAACACGAAAATAAAATGGGAAAATCTGGGAAGTCTCCCGACTATCTGAGAGCCTGGAACAGGCTAAATTAGGCCAGGTCCGAAAATGGGTATGGATTTTAGAGATCTGGTCTGAAAATGGGTGTGGAAAATAACATTTTTTGGTCTGCAATAAGATCAGGATTCGGAGAACCGGGCACCACCCCCCACCAAGAATTCCCACTAGTGCCCCCCTCCGGGGATAAGGAGCAGGGTGTAAATCATGTCATCATAATCATCGCTTGGAATATAACGTTGGATGAATCATTTCGGTTATTACCCCCCTTGCCCTCCCTTCTAAATACCGCTTTTGTGCATCGCGGAATGCCCTACATTGACCTTCCCGTCTGAGTTCTTCATTCAGTCCTCATAGGGAATTGTGGCATTCGATAAGAATTTTACTGATCTGACTAACACCAATACTATTTTTTTAATTCAGTGCTTCTTATTGGTTTAAAACTGCATATTGAAATCTCTTCTAACTCCTTCTTTTTATAAAATTCAGAGTTAAATTTCAGTTGCCTTGAGTACCGGCATAACCTTCCTTCTCCGTGGGAAGAACAGCCAAGGGAACGTTAAAGCTGGGACTACTGTTTTTGCTAGTCCGCTTTCCATTTCTCTCAGTTTTACCTTTCTAAAGCTGTTTTTATTTACATAGTCCGTAGTCCGCGTTTTATACCCAGTCCGTGCTTTATACTCAGTCCGGAGTCCGCATTTTATACCTAGTCCATATTTTATACCCAGTCCGCAGTCCGTGGTCCACAGTCCGCAGTCCGTGTTTTATACTGACCGATTTTGAGGGCGTAGGGACGGTCGTAAGACGCGAATGAATATAAATGAGAACAACTCATAGCCTACCGCTAATGAAGCAATTGTAACAGCATACCATGTAACACCCCAAAGAAAAGGTTACATAACCCATGATAAATACATTTGTTCTTCGTTAGTGCAGACAATGGTGGCCCGGTTGCTCGAGGTAAGGAGCCGTTTCTCTGTAGTTTTCTCTGTCCTGATTAACTGAAATCTCGAGCTTTCGTTAAGATTTGCTTTCATTTTTTTCCTCATAAGTCAGTTCAATTTGATGTCGGGGGAAAATTTGTCTTTAAATGTTGAGTTTACACACCTCTTCTACTCGATTAAACTGTAATTGTCAACATTCCATCGAGCACAAAATACTGCTAAAGTTAACCTGAAAACGATCTTTTGCAACTTTGAAGTCTCTTCATACCTTCAAAAAATGGACCCTAGAATTTTGCCGAATTCTGAAAGATTCTTACTCTAAAAAATGGACAACACAACGAGCTCACGAATTCTTTACTCGCGAGGCTAAAACACTACAAAGACCACTTAGTGTGTATCCTGAAACCGATTTTTGCTTGTAAAAGCTTTATTTGTGTAAGGTTATTTGTGTTTTTCATGTTGCAAACGGTGTTGAAATAAATACGACAGTATGATAATCTCATCTGGAGTTTATTTACTTTATGTGGTTTTACGTACCAAGCCTCATAGTTTTCTTATACACCTGTAATAATTAATCTTTACAGATCCTGCACCACAATTTATAGGTAAGATTTCCATACAACCCCAAACATTTGTTATGTGTGTTAAATAATATAAGCTTGCTGCATGGATAATAAATGTAGAGGTTTGGATGCGTAGGACCTTTTGATGTTGTGTGTGCCACTTATAGATCCAGCAAGTTTTGTCTACTTTTGTAGGCACTCATGGTTTTAGGTGTCGGCTGCTGAATGTAGTCTTTTCTTTTTTTCTCTATAGAAAGCACTCAGAAGTGTTGAGAATAATATATAGATTTAGCCAGGGCTAAAAGCGAAGCTCCCGTTAATAAATTCATAATTTAAATCAAACAATAAACTTGTAATCCACAGATAGGGCACATTCATGTGACTTTTGAGGCAAATTAAGGCTAAGTGATTTTAGAGAAAAATAATTTGACAGTCCAAGAGTGAAACAAATTTTACATCGCGTTAATAGTCTTATTTGTACACCCAAAAATAGCAATCATGTTCGATCACAGTAGATTAGGCCTGGAAAACAAATAGACCTATTCGTGTATTGTATTTGCATTAGCTGTTGCATCATAATGTCGCATTCACCAGTCTCTCTAACAATGTTCCGTTAGAGAGACTATGGATAATTGGACAACCCCGAAATATAATTTTAAGAACCACACGAGCCACGATAGTCCTTGGTGGCAGCCAATTTACACGTTGCATTCATCTGTCTAAAAGGGAAGCCAAAATAAAAAATCAGGCCGGATTTTTTGTGTTCGACAAGTTTAGTTTACAAGTAAATCTGGTGGCGTGTAAACCAGCCTTTTAAGCATACTTTTTCTCAACACGTCTCCGGTAAACAGTACTATGAGGCCCTTTTTTATCATACAGACCTTGGACAGAATTTGTTCTTTTTTTTGCCCTATCATTCTGCAGTTTTTCACAATTTTGTAAGACAATTTGCATTCATTCAATATCCACGACGTCAAAGCAAGCGCTTCCTTTGCAAAACAAATTATAGCATTGAATTATCAAACGTTTTCATGAAAAGAATTCCATAATGCGGGACTTTTCCGTTAGAAAAATCTGGTCCTATGTGATATGCAGGGTAATAATTATGGGCTTTTAGCATGAAAACGATAAAAAAAATTCCCAAAATCACCTTTTCGGCCAGCCGGACGGGTTCTCACTTTTGACAGGCAAATTTGCAGTGCGATTAATAGAGTTACCATTTACGCTTCAACACGATAGGGAAATTGTTATGTTTAGGTTTTATTTCCCTTTATTTATTAAACTGTGTATGTGGTTTTGTTATGTGTAATCTTTAAAAGCGAGTGATATTTACACGCGGCGTTTTGAGTTTCCTGTATGCGATGTTTATGTTCGACTGCAAACAACCGGTGCAGCGATAAAAATTGCGGGAGGGACTACTAACAATCAATAAAATAAATATAATTCGGTGAAACATGTACAGAGACAATAATTTTCATTCACGAAGAGAAGTATTGAGAGTAAAGTGTCTCTGAAAATCATGAGTCAGGTAAGCATAAACTTGTTTATGTTTTAAGCCGGTTTCCCGGTGTTTGCTCTTTTTCAAGATGAACTCGAGACAAGAAAATCGCTCAGAGCTTTCTGTTTATAGCCAAAATCATAAGTAAATAATCTTTGGAACCTTTTCTTTGAATTTGCGGTCAAAAAATGTCTAAAGGCTTTTTAAACCTGATACTATTGTTGGTTAGATCATCGCTTAAGCCGCATAAACCATACGCTCGACTTCAGGAAACCGAAAAAAAAAACACATCAAAGACAATAATTGCTCAGGCTTACCAGTCGAGATGCTGCTTCTGAAGGTCATCAAGTGTTCCAGAATCGCTGGAGACTTTTCAACCCTCTTACGCCTCAAGCAAGGACAAGTGAGGAAGCTCATTCTTGAAAACGATGCCATCCGAAATCGGATTTCCAATGACTTTCACAACCGGTGCATTTGTCAACATAAAGCGCAATAAACAAACCAGCCATGAATTACAGAACAATCTTGCTAGCAGCTGTATTTCATTTTGTACACCAAGTAGAAAACGACCGTTTAAAACATCACAAGATGACACAAAACTCTGTCAGCTCCAGCTATCAGTAAGCAAGTTTCCAGACGCTGCATAAATTTTCCGCAGGAACTCACCTGTCAAATTTTGACCAATCAGAACATAAAAGTTGGACGTAGAGCGTGATCAACGCGTGACAGTGAGAAAAGTCAAGAGCGATTGCCTAACCTGCATGTAAAAGCGGGTTGAATTTTCTCGTCAGAAGTCAGTTCGAAATCAAAATTTTAAAACGGACTCATAAACACGACTTATTTCATATGCATTTTAAAAAAATTGAACTAGAGCCTGCGATCATGTGAAAAGTAGCAACTTGTCAGCGGATACCTTCAAAAAATACTCAAACTCAGTGGGTCGATAGCTGAGTCCGCAATACGGTCAGGCGATACTGGTCAGCAGAAACACTATTTTGACAGCTGTCAATTAATCAAAACATGGATGTACAATATCAGGTTGCAGGCTCTCAAATTAGCTAGAAAGTGTGAGGTTAAACATTGGTATGACTGTGGCGCGGACGGTCGGGTGGTCGGTGTAAGGTCACGTGATTGCCGAATTTTGTAGGATGGATAGATTTTCTAACCTCTGGGGCTTCGAATTTAGCACGTGATCAAATAAAATATCAGCGCAAAACTTTAAACACTACGTGAACTCAATGG